AACGTGACTAGTGGTGTGTCTCAAGGCTCAATTTTCGGACCCTTCCTGTTCATCCTTTCTGTGAATGACAGCCTTCAAGGACTCGACTGAGACAACATGAGGTTCGCCGACGACGTTAGGCTCTGGAAAATCATTAAGGGTCCAAATAGCCAGAAACCCCTTTGAGATAATCTTCACCGACTGAAAATGTGGTCCGAGAAATAGCTTCCGGATTTCAGTGAGCAGAAATGTGTCGTCATTCATCTGCGTCCAACTATCTGTCACTCAAATGATAGCACAAGGGCATATCATCTTAAGAATATTGCTCTTCCTGCAGAATCCTCTCAGAAGGACTTTGGTGTTTGGATACAGTGCAGCATGAAATCAGCACTGCAGTACACGACGGTTGCAAAAACGCCATGAGAGTACTCTATGCGATCACAAGTGCGTTTGTAACCTCTGACAAACACCTTTTTGGGAGGATTTAGGAAACCTTTGTTTGGCCTCATCTAGAATATGACATACAAGTGTGATGGCAATGGCTATCAAAGGACCAAACTTGCCTTGAAGAAAGTACAACGCCGTGCAACAAAGCCGGTAAAGTGTTTAAGAAACCAATCTTGCATAGAAAGACTGAATTGCCTTAATTTATTCCCTCTGTGCTACAGGCGTCAAAGAGGTGATCTTATCCTGATTTGCAAGATACTACATGGCCTTGAGCGTGGACTGGGCTTTGAGGACCTGCTTCAGTGACACCTCTCGCCCATTATTCGTGGCCACGCGATGAGGCTGCACAAAAAAGTGTCCAGGCTGAACCTCCGCTCAGAATTTTCGACACAAATGGTAGTGGGGAAGTAGAATAATCTCCCACAATCCGTCGTGGATGCGGGGTCCCTGCAGTTATTTAAGAAACGCTTCGATGGTTAATTGTGTCCCCTGCTTTTCCTTGACAATATGAACCTGATCTACATACCCCACGAACCCCAAAACGTTTGTCTTTTAAAACAATGTTATTTAAATCATAAAATTACTACTTTTATAACGACACAATTCATTACCCGTCTATAGTTGTGCATACCGTACTGGTATGTAATCAACAGGGTTTTAAAAGGGTTTACCTATTGTCCTTACCCAATAAATTAAAATAAACTGAAATAAATTGAGAATAAGGCGAGCAAAGCTATTCTCGGTGGTGCTGAGAAGCAAGATGCCTCTGTGTTCATCATGGAGTTGCCGATTCCCTCTGCGCTTATAGGGATGGGCGATTCTCGTCCCCTTGAAAGGCTGAGGAACACGTCCTTGGCGCCACATCTCCCAGGACAGCGCTGTGAGGTGATCCATCAGTCAACGACCTCTGTGTTTGTAGATTTCGGCCAGAATCTCCTCGAAGCCTGGTGCTTTGTCACAGGAGTGTTGTTGCACGTTGCGGATGGTTTCTGGAGGGGAGGTTGGGAGATTTGGTCGTTGTTTTGGGAACCTATCACTCACTCGCAGGCAGCGTGGTCTGTCCCGACGTTGACGTTGAAGTCGCCGAGGACAACCAAACCTGCGGCAGATATGGCAGTCGTTCCACGATGTCGTTCCGGATGACAAAGGCAACGTCAGCGTCGCGTCGCTATGCTTTTGGGCTGCTGCTCCAGAAAAATGCGTATCCGGCACTTATCTCCTCCAGCAGGCCCTGTTCAGGGAGGCGGGTCTCGCTGAGTGCAGCAATGTCCACTTTGTGGTACGCTAGGTCTCGAGCGACTGGCATTGTTCTTCGTTCCGGCCTGTTGATCCTCGGATTGTCTAGAAGGGAACAAACACTCCAGGCTGCCAGAGTGATCGGACTTCCCCTAACAGCCTAGGGAGTGAGGTGGAGGGGAGGAGAAGGAGATTGTGAGTGACTGTTGTTGTTCATTTTAATGTTTCGACCACGAGAGTTGCATCTACGAGCCACGATATACTAGCAGATGGCGTAATTCCCCGGCATTTTTAGGTTACATTTTCTAGCCTCTTCTACCCTAGCGAGCAAGCAGTGCTATCCCCGAATAGGGCTGCTTAGACATCCCGGAAGACTGCCGAACTCTTTATGGGTCACGACTTTCTTTAGTTGAGAGCGACAAGCGTTAGCCTGGGCTGCCTACGGGATTTCATATTAACCCTCTGCAGGACCTTCTAAAGTGGAGGGAGGGAAGGGGTGAGAAGGAAAACATAAGTACCGGGTTTGAAGGCACACATAACACGGAATATCCTCGCATGGTCTAACCCGTCGGTCTAGTCGGTTACCGAGGTGTGACGGCTGGGCGGAGTCTAGCTTCGAGGAGCCATAGGTGAGAGTTTTTTGCCAGTTAATTGATGTTAGTCGTAGTCACCATCTGCACGAGTAAAATCATGCGGCCTGCTATGACCTTCAAGTAGAACCCACAATTAGACACACCTACAGCCCGGGCAACAGAGTACAGCCTTGGCGAACGTCAAACCGAACATCTAACGTTGGGAGAGAATATTTTGAGCCAGAACTCATGCAGTCGTTAAACGACAGTTGGTTCCAACCATGACGGGGATTTTGCGAACGTACCATCAAGATCCATGATCCATTAAAATGGTCCACGATGGACATAATCGAAGGTTGCAGTAAAATTAATAAGGCACTCGTCGATTTCTGATCGAAAGCCATAACTACAGAGTACGGTGCAGCGCAAGTGTCTGGTCGGCGCATTCATGCGAATCCCAGGATTCAGCCTGCTTGTTTCGCTATCGAATCGCTTATACTCTGAACTTCACAAAAATGACAATGATAAAGTCCACTTTAACAAATTTGATGGCGTAAGTGGAGGTCTACAGGTGTTTTAAAACCTCTCCATGGTGGTAGCCAGTTCACAGAATAATAATTTTTTGCGATCATCCCCAATCGATTTTGATGTTGTTTTTCGGGGTTGGCAGAAAGCAACAGCACTGCACCAGACAATTATAATGCCCCTGAGCTAATCCGGTCACAGCAGCGTCACTGGGTGAATCCCAACTGTCCCACTGACTGAGGACTATGGCCATTTGCTATAGCCTTATCCTGCGGCTCGGGTTGTGAACTCGGGTTCCCAAACAAGAAGCCCTACGGCCGGACCTTTATACAATTCTGTAGGTGACCCGGGCTAACTCGGGTCATCTTCTCACTAAACAAGAGCAATGACCCATCGTGGAATTCGAAATCTGTTTGGGAGAAATATGCAGTTCATTTCAGGGGTGGGGGCTAGAAATGTGTCCGGAAGATGCTGGAACAACACGCTGGACTACTCACCTGCCAAAAGAATGAAACGCCGCGAACTTGTCCTAGAATTTAGAACACGGCAAACCAACGCGGAAAAAGCTTCACAATCTACAAAGACCGGATAGTCAAACGACATTCCGCTCCCCTCTGGATCAAGCCGATCCGAATGACCGCACAGATACACCAGTAGCCTGTGTCGGGCTTGAAAACAAATCTCGCATGAACTCGAAACCCATATTCATGGATACCAACGTGCAAAGCTTACTTTCAAAACTGGATGAACTCCGTATCCATACCTACGACGGCCACCCAGATGTTATCTTAATAACAGAAACATGGGTGTCCGAACACGCTGATAATAGAGAGCTCATGCTCCCTGGATTTCAACTGTTCCGCAGAGACAGAGAAAACAGAAGGGGTGGAGGCATAGTAAAATTTGTTAAGAATGACTTGTACGTTTCAGAAAAGACTGCCAAATTCACTTGCATTACGGCAGCATTATGGCTGACCATAAGGGCACCGGACACTCAAAGCCTCGATATCTTGACAGTATATCGCCCCCCGAGAAACGACCCTGACGCTGACGCCAAACTGCTCGACGACCTCAGATTATTTTCAATCCAGCCGAATGCTCTCATCGTTGGGGACTTGAATGCACCTCACATCGACTACAGCTCGGTTTCTACCGACTGCTCTGAAACAGCATTTGACCGGCAGCTACTGCGTACCATCGACAATCTATTTCTTACCCAACACGTAGTGTTTCCAATGAGAGTTCGAGAGGGCCAACAAATGAAATGCCTCGATCTTGTGTTCACCAAGTCGTCTGATAATGTCGACGCTGTGAATTGCCTCCCCCGTTGGGTCAGAGTGACCATGTAGTTCTCATGTGGGAATACATTTTTTTCTCTCTGTCTGCACATCCGCTCGATTCCCGACCCAATATTTGGCGCGGCGTTTCGAACAGATGAAAAAAGATCATCGTCCTATCATCTGGGCATCCACCCTCTCCGGCGATATCGAGGAGGTTTGGTGCCAGTTCAAAGAGATAGTCTACAGCCTCATCTCCAACCACTGTCCAATCATGCGCAGAAGGCTAACGAATAGATCCCGCTGGTTGACTCCGACCTTAAAGGAGGAAGTTAACAGGAAGATGAAGCTATGGGAATGATGGCTCTTAGACCGGACGCCAGAATACTTAAGCAATTATAAGTTACAGAGAAACCGGGTCAAAATTCTCATCGCCAGAGATTGGAAAGCCTTCGAAAAGGATCTTTCGAGACCTGTCACAGTTAATCCCAAAGTCCTTTACAGTTACATATGGCAGAGTACACGGAACAAAGACCCCAGCCCACTGCTGCGAACGGCTAGGGAAACGGAAATCTCAGGTGACAAGGATAAGGCCGAGCATCTCCTTCAGTTCTTCAAGTCCGTCGTGGCAACTGAACTCGATTTTTTCTCACACACTTGTGAAGACGAAGAAACGCCTACTTTTGAAACAGTCTTATTAACCGAACCAATCTTTCAGAAAGAGTTACTAAACCTGGAGGAATCGACCTCCCCAGGCCCTGATGCAATTCCGGCCAAGCTGCTGAAGGAGCTAGCCCCCGAAATGTCCAAACCGTTATCCTTGATATTTCAAACGTTTATCGTTACGGGGTGCCTGCCCTCCGACTTGAAGTGCGCTACCATTACTCCGCTTTTTAAGGGTGGAAGTCTTATGTCTGCGAATAACTACAGACCAGTGATTCTCACCTCCATCTGTAGCAAAATCATGGAAAAGATCGCTAAGAAAGCCTTGATGCAATTTCTCGAGCAGCACCACTTCCTCTTCGATATCCAACATGGCTTTCGAAGTGGTACGTTCTGTCTCACGAATTTGCTCCTTTCACTCGAACGGTTGACCAAAGCACGCTACGAAGGCGATGTGGTGTACGCCATCTACATCGACTTCAAAAAGGCTTTCGATAGATTCCCTCACCAACGTCTCTTGCACAAACTGCGCAACGCAGGAATGCGTGGACGCCTTCTTGCACGGATACAGAGCTTTTTGACGGCACGGTCCCAAAGAGCGCAGGTCGGTTGCCAACAGTTCTCAGAGGTAAGCGTGGTGAGCGGCGTCCCACAGAGCTCAATCTTAGACCCCACATTATCCCTCGGTTTCATAAAGGACTGCGCCAAGGACCTACACTGTGGTGCCATTCTGTTTGTCGACGAAGTAAAATTGTGGAAAGTTATTCACAATGCGGCAGACGGAGACCACCTGCAAACAAACTTGAACAGGCTCGAGGACTCGTCGAAGCGCTGGTTTATGCCCTTCCATGTGAGCAAGTGTAGCTTTCTTCAAATCGGCAGCTGTAGAACCTCCAGCCCCAGGACTTGCCTTCTTCACGGCACACCACTGCAACAAGTTGACAGTCAGAGGGACTCGGGTGTGTGAATTACATCTTCAATCAAACCAGCACTAAACTGCGCGAAGGCGGCTAAGTCTGCCATGGCAACGTTGCAACTCATTAGGCGAGCTTTTGTGGGATTTGACATTGACTGCCTTTCCAAAATATTTGGAACTTTCTTGCGGCCTCATCTAGAGTACGCCATACAGCCGTGGAGACATTGGACTGCCAAGGAGTATACCGTCTTGGAAAAGGTTCAGAGATGGGCGACCAAAATGACAAACGGTCTGGGAGCATTGCCCTATGAAATCAGACTGTCAACTCTCAACCTGTTTCCCCTTTCCTACAGGCACCTACGTGGTAACCGTATACTAACATTTCGTATAATCGACAGATTAGACTGTCGTTTAGATCCATCTGATTACTTCACCCCAGCTAACACGCCCACTTTGCGCGGTCATCCCCTGAAGCTACACTCAGGGAAAGCAAGGATTAATGGACAAAAGTTCCCTTTCAGCAGCAGAGTGGTTGCAGCGTGGAATGTCCTGCCTACCGATGTTGTAGTCTCCTCCTGTGTGAATTCCTTTAAGTGTAGACTCGGCGCGTATCAAGCCGCCCAACTGCCGGCCTCACCTCCAATCACATAGTCAGACACAACTTATATATATTTATGCTACTTGCAATTAGTGAGTAAGTGTTAATGATTACTCTTTTTTCTTCAAGCTGGCAGTCGTCTGCAATTATGTACAAAATTTCAATTTCAATTTTCTACTTATCAGTGTTTTTTCCCTCCAACGACTTGTTATCAATAGGGAGTTCAAAGGCACTCGCCTATATTTCTCTTAATAAAACTGAACTGAACAAGCTTATCGTGGCTTCCGAACCAAAAATGCCGTTGAAAGCCTCACAGATAACTACCCCGTACCCATTCCCTTAATCTCATTCTACAGACTGCCATAGTAGCACTGCTCATTATGGCAGCCTGGAATGGTCGTTGGCTTCTAGACAATCCGGAGGCAAACCGTCTGGAAATAAGGCCGGTTCTGGTCACCCGCGAACTGAGCCGCCACATAGTGGATATGGCGGTTCTCTGTGAGACCCGCCTCTCTGAAATGACCCAACAAGAGGAGGTGAATTTCGGATAAACCTTCTTCTGGAAAGGAGGTCCAATTTCAGCGTTAGGAGATGCCGGAGAACAAATTCCCGCCATCGCTGGCGTCTATGCTTTTCAAAGACGAGCTCTGACAGGGGGAAGAATAAGTTTCACGAAGCCCAGCACACTTTCCTGACGACTGCGCTGAATGTAACTTCAGTATTCGCATTGCACAGACCGTGCTGTCTGGGAGGAAGTGTGTGGTTACCACGAGATCGACAGCTGCAACAGCAGTGGCCTTCTTCGCCTATAGGCCTGTGCGGAACACAATCTTCTTCTGACCAACACCTTCCGATGGGGAAACAGGCGGCGTGGATGCGCCCTCACTCGCGTCACTGGTATCTGCTGGACTACGTCCTAATTCGGAAACGTGGCCAGCAAGACGTTTTCGAAACTAATGCTAGTGGACACCAACGATGGCCTCGACTGTCAGCCTTCAGTCCTTAAGACAATCAGAATACAACTGTCCACTGCAAAAGTACCAGGAGCAGACGTAATTTGAGTCGAAGTCTACCCGTAAAACGACTCGCAATCCATGAAAAAACACATCTCGCTATTCCAGGTGGTATGGTGACAAGGATGCATCCTCAAAGACTTAAACGATGGCCCCATCGCGCACATTTGCAAACGCGAGGGGAACCGGTAACTCTGTTATAACGACAGAGCCATTTTGGTTGTTTGCTCCTGTGACCCCCAGCGCCATTGCCCACCCATGTCACCCTCAGTCCGTCCGACAGTCAGTGAATCGTCTGGGTCGCAATAACTTAGCACCGGAGTGGCGACAGGTCGACGTCAATCGAAGCAGCACACATCGCCGATTGGACACAGGCGGACAGGGCCCTGACGCACGCACACTCTTTGAGCTGGGGTTAACGACATGTTCAGCTGACACTCGGCTGTTGAGAATATTTGTGGCCACTGTCTTCTGAATCGCGTGCATGATCGCTAGCGTCAGTAAAACGTGACTAGTAACTCTGTTTTCCCTGACATTTTATTTGGGAACCCTCGCGCTGTCTATCCCCCATCACCTCGACAACGTTTCCCATTCCAACGTTGAAGGAAAAATCTTTCCTCGTGCCCTACGTGATCGTTGAACACGCAGATGGAGTAGGAACTTTTTCCAGAAACGCAGCGCGAATTCAAGGTACGCAGCGCAACCACGACCTTTGTGGTCCGCAGACTGCACGAAATGAAGACCAACCTCTAGACAACTCTCGCCCATCTGGCGAAGGCATTTAACGCAATGAATCGCGATGGAGTCTGAAAATCATGCTGAAATTCAGATGCCCTGATTGATTTGGTCAACTGGCAAGACAGCTTCATGACGGGATAATGGCTCGCGTTACAGACAACGGGGCAATCTCTGAAACATTTGCTGTGACCAGTGGCGTAGAGCAGGCCTGCGTCCTCGTTCCCACCCTAACAGGTCCCATGTTATCCGTCGTGCCAATGAATGCCTGACGTGAGGAGCCACCGCGAATCCACACCGACTACTGAACCATCAGAAAACTGTTCAGCATGGCAGCATCTTCGAGGAGTACCCAAGGCCAGAGTCCACAAACAACTGTTCACGGATGACTGCATGCTAAACACCATGAGGGAAGAGGACATGTAGCGAAGTGTGAGCTTCTTCGTCTCCAGCTGCTTCAACTTGGACTTGATAATTAGCACACAGAAGACAGTGGTCGTGCACCAACCGGTACCAAATGTTGCTTACGCCGAACCCTATCTCAATGTCAGTGAATTTTACCTCACACAAGTAGAGATGTTCACGTACATTGAGAGTAAAATTGCAGGAAAGATCAACATCGACGACGGAAGCGCAAGACAAACCTCCAAAATCACTCCAGTTTTCGGCCGACTATGGCCCTCCCTCTGAAACTGTCACGACATCCTACTGAACGCAGAAGTCGGGATGTACAGGGCTTTTGTCTTGACAACGTTCTTGTATGGGGCGGAAACGTGCATTTTTCTATGAAGGCCAGGCAGGGCGACTCAGTCATTTTCACCTCAGGTGCCCCTGAAGGATACTGAAAGCGCAGTGGCTGGAATGGATCCCGGACACTGAGATCCTGGAGGGAACCGGTGTCCTCAGTATTCACGCCATGTTGAGGCAGCTACAGCTGTGATGGAGCGACCACGTCGTGTGAACGGCCGATGCGCTTTTGCCCACGTGGCTGTTCTACTTCGACGTGGCTACGGCGGTCGGCGACAAGACCAATAAAAACAGCGCTACAAGGATACCTCGAAGGATACCTCAAGCACCTCCAAATAAACCAGGAGGCCTGGAAGGGCCTTGCTCACGATCGATAGGCCGGATCAGCCATCTTCGAAGTTAACCGAACAGTCTCAGCCAGTCAAAAGAGGGAGACCCGCAAGACTCAACTGCTACGGAACAATGACACCGGCACCCAACCCCCGCTATCGTGTGCACGCTGGCAACGGAAACTGGGGCCCCGGATCGACCTTATTGGGCATATGAAGACCCAGTGCAAAGTCAACACGACCAGTCTGCCTCTCACCTTGCAGCACACCTCTAATACCGCCGCTATTAGCAATACCAAAGAGGATACACCCAGTGTCCGGCAAAATATTTCCAGCAACAATGCGGACTCAGTCCCGGGCTTTGCTTATTACGTTCGCACCGTCCCATCGCGCATAGGCTTGCTTGGCCACTTGCGACTTCATCGGACAGACGCCGGCTAGCCTGTGTCCATAGCCTCGATATACACACTCACCACAGGCCTCATCTGCCCACAATGTCATGAGAAATAAAGACACCGCATGGGTCTAATTGCTCATACGCGAATCCATGACAACGGAATTCACAGAAATTTCATCACAACAGATCTAGATCCTGCAGTTAAAGACTCCTCTACCACCTACACTACGTGGGCAAGACCACTAGAAAGCGACTGTCCCTCCTCTGTAGCTGCCCGCAAGGGAACTTTCTTTCAAAAGGCCTTAATGAATAAGTCACGAGTTCTCAAGTAATTTGTTCACTCCTACCTAGTCAAATCCAAGTGCCACTAACGCGGACTCCTTTTTTGTGCCTTATTAAAGGAGGGCATGTAACTGTCAGCGTTATCAGCCATGGTTTAGGGAATGTGTGCGTCTGCTATGCCATGATTCCGCAAACCATGGTCCTTGCAGCCGGGTATGCGCTGGCCGTTCTCTGGAAACTGGTTCCCTGCCAGTGGATGCGCTTGCGCTCCCGCTTGGTATACAGGCCGTGTGCATGGTTGCCCGGTGACTCGTGTCATCCTTCTCTTTCTGACCCATTTTTGTTGTTGACTAACATCCTGGTCAAGTATCTGTTGTGAACCAGGGGGTGAAGTAGTGCGCCTGCAGTACAGCCATCGACCAGCTCCCGCAAGTGGAAACGAGCAACGACCTGGACCTCCACCCTCCCTCCCAGAAACAATCAGAGCCGTCCAATGGCTGTCCATCGGGAAAACGTCGGGATCCGATGAGATCCCTACAAGCATTGCGGCCCTCGACTGATGGGCATACTTACAGCACGTGACCTATCTCATGAAATCTGATAACGGGAACTAATGAGCGAATTTCTGGACGCCTTTAACGTTGAGCATTTTGTTCGCTCATCCACATCCTTCAATAAAATGTTCTTTTCTTGTGCAGAAATTGTTTTTACGTAATTATGCCAAGTAAATTACTGGAAACCTGTTTTGGAATCTACACTCAGAATTTAGGCAGTTGACAAATCGTCATATATGAAATCACACTACTTATTAAACGATATTCAGATGAAAACGGCCCGCCTGGTATCCGCTGACCGTTCTCTGACACCTGGTTCCCTGCCGGTGGATGCGCTTGCGCTCCTTCGTGGGTGCCCAGTGACTTGTACCATCCTTCACCTGATGGCCCATTTTTTGTTGTTGACTAACATCCTGTTCAAGTATGCGTTGTGGACTAGGGGGTGCAGTGGTACGCCTGGGTGCGGGTTATCACCGTTCCAGCTGCCTGCGGCCTCTATTGCCCCCAGTCTATTTAACCCTGTCATGGCACCAGATCCAGGCGGAGGGAGAGTTCGATAGATACTGTGCAAGTCTACTACCACTATAGGCTAAGCCGTGCACAGGTTAACGTGTCTCCTCTCCCCCTGATGTGGAGTAGACGGTGAACATGATTGACAACGACGGTTGAACTGTCATTACCAGGTGCGGTGTTATAACTGCAAAGTTAACTTTTCCAGTGTTGATGTTGAATGCGTTGTTTGATTAAGATAGAAGACCCCTTGATTGAGTACCTGACGGCCCACAAAGCCGCTGCAACTTGAGAAGATTTGGATCTTATAGAACCCGAAGACGTGATTGCGGCTAAATTTCGAATAGTTTTACCGCCATGCCGTCCTCCACAGGGTGGTGCCTCCATACTTAGAATTCAATCAGACATTCGCATGCTTCGTGCCAGCCACTCATAGTACATCCAATGTTCTCCTGTTTGCCAAACGCCAGAGTTGCCCCGAGTTTGTGTTAGCGGTGCCTAGGTGGTTTCTACACAGAGGTGGAGCAGTTGTTTACGAATAAATGACAGGTCAGTAAGTAAGTGTACATCACTGACGTCAGTGAGCCGCCCGAACATTCTCTTGGGAAGGCTGCTGTCGCCACTCTTCGGCTGACCAGTCACGTTAAAAATGGGATTCAGAAGGAAATTTATGAAAGGTAACCAAGGCATGTGCGCCATGGTATGAAGGAAAAGGTACAACGTTTAATCGTGCCTACGAGCTCAGTTGTCACGTCTTTTCTGGGAATCTCATACGAATACATCTAACCCAATGAGCCATCTCTAGTTTCGCATAAGCGCTGAGAAGTCTTTTATTGATTAAGGTGAAAGGTTAAGAGGTACGGTAGGCCGATACGCAACTGGGAAACGGCTATATGCGTCTCCCTATTTGTCAACATAACCATTGTTTAGTGTAACTGTTGCACATTTCCGCGTACTACTGAGGTTTGATGCAACAAGTTGGCAAACAAGCTGACACCGAGTGAGACGCTGACACTAAACGTGGGTTCAGCGCCTCTGGTTCTATTTTGCCCGTTTGTTTCTCTGCGCGTAGTAGACGGCGGACTCACAGTACTAAGATCTGCATCATGGAAAGATCTGATTTCAAATCAAATGGGCAGCATAAATTAATAAAAAAAGTTGTGCACACTGATTACCGACAGTCATTCGAAAAAATCTGCCGAACCGAATGTTGCCTTTGATGGGCATCCATTCGGCCTTGATGGAACCGCATGACGTAACCTCCACAATATTAGAGGGCGGGAGCGTGTATTCTGTGGACTCACTGTGGGAAGGGAAGAACTGGCAAGTCGCCTAAAGGTTATTGTCAGGGCGCTACCTGAATGTTCTTAGCATGGCGATATGGTCATTTACTGTATCTCTCGCAGACACTGCAGAGACGAACACAATGGACTTCCGCCGTGAGTCTTTTTTTATCGATGCCTTAATCAGTCCTCACACAGCTAAGCCGTGTAGTTGGCAGTTAGCGGCTGGTTATCCCGGCTACATCACACTTCTGCGATTGCCATACTAAAGCTTATCTGTGCTGAACAGAAAACCGCCCCCTCATATCAACTGGTCGAGATTGAATAAACATCTATTTAAATAATCCCACCCAATAATATCTTCCCGTAGCCAAATGATGTTATTCCACATGTCATATCAGCTACCTTAAAAGAAAAAAAGCAAAAACCGGTGATAATATGACAGTGTTGGAAAATGGCAAAGTGGAATATTTTCAGTTGGACTGCTGGCTCGCAGTGTTTAGCAGAAGCTCGCTTCAACTACCGTTTTGAAATCACCGCCATTAAGGACTAATTTGCGATTGTCACCCTCCTTATTTTTGAGACAGAGCTTGCTGTCGTCTGTTTTCGAACTACGTGGTCACCGTTCGTTTCTTTAAATAATGTGCTGATATCAGAGTCACTTCAGGTGCGCTACGGCCGAGTTTATGCCAGTAGAACTTAAAACGCAAATTGAGCCTACACGTTTTGACAAAAAACTGAAAAAAAACGGCAAGAACGTCGTAGAATACTAGATGCATTGGCTGCAAAAATGAGCCAAATTAGAAGTTTTAAAACAATATTTGAAATGCTGCTCGGACACGGGAATGGGAACCCCTCACGTACTAGGGGTGGCTCAGCAAAATAATTCAAGGAGAGGTATCAATATCCGTACTCTGATCCAAGCCCAAACCCTGAACTTAATACCCGCCCTAACTCCAACCCCAGTCTCCCTGGGATCCAGCGCAAGGCCACCTTTATTAAAAGGTAGGTTTCAATACCCGTTTCCTACCGAAAGACCACCAAAGAACATATATATTTCAACAAAATTTACACATTTGAATTATCGAAGTTTAAACGTCCTTTCTCTTAAGTGCGACTTATACAAAACTCCCCTACTCTGTTTAAGTTCCACGTTACGACAAAATTTCGCCCAGGTTTTGCTGTGGGTGGGAACATGATAATCAGATGGGCAACTCCGTCCAATAACTAAGGTCGTTTTTTACTTTGCAGCTAGTGGCTGCTGCTACATTGGTTAATCCGCCATAGCAATGTCAGAGGTTGTCTCGTCAGCACAACTTCGTTCTGTCGCCCCTCTCGTCATCGCCCCCTCCTCCTCCTCAATTCCCTGAATGTGTAACAATTAATTCATGTAGTTGTTCCATGTCAAAACAATTAACTAGCTACTATGGCAACGGAAAGAAAGGAGTGCCACGTAGTTTCCATGGTCACGTCTTAGATGTGTCAAGGTAGAATACAGCTACAGCTGAAAAGCCAGTAGTTGGCATTTCACTGAACAGTTAACTGTTGTCTGATGCTTGTCGCAACTAATAATTACGACTTTGCTTTCGAGGCGAATCTTACGAGTGGGGTCCTCGATGCGGACGGCAAGTTTATTGGTGCATCCGTAGAGGACAACTACTCTCGTGACATCACTAGATGCTGCCAGAAGTTCATCAGAATTCTGTTTTCTGTGCTGGGCACACTGATCCTCCTCTGCCTGTACTTGGGCGCGGGCGCCTGGATGTTCCAGTACTTGGAGAAGAGCAACGAGGCGAGCGCCTGTTACGACACTTACAAGCTTTACCTCGAACAACTGAACACGTCGATGATCCGGGCTACGGGTATCCTGCACTCGGGCCTGCCTGATGAGGAGGTCAGTGGTCGTTTGCAAACCGCCATGACGGATTTCGCGGACAGCCTGTTCGCGCTCGATTTTGCGCCAAGCAAGAACTGCTCTGCCATACATACCACGCCATTTGGATCAAAGTGGAACTGGGTCAATTCGTTGTACTTCTGTGCAACAATACTTACCACCATTGGTGAGTTGGCCGCCACCGTATCTTTAATTCTTTCAACATTTCATCTGAAGTTGGGATAGCGATAGTCCCTGCATGAGTAATGTGTGTCTTGCCGGACCATTATCAGAGGTAAATACCAAGGCGACAAGAGTAGGAAAGGAGTTTCATCAGAAAGACAAAAACATACGTGCTCCAAAATTTCAGACCAAAAGCCCCTGAGGGCCAAGACCAAGTAGCTGTCCTAACTTTTTTGAGCACTAAGTTACAATATTTAAAAGTTAGTTCATAACTATACAAAGTAGTTCTGAATTACGAAATGAGTACTAGAGGAAAAACTTATGTTCAGATCGGCTTTTTTTGAAAATCGGATAATTTACTACTTTGAATAGAAACGCGCAAGTTGAGAGAGGCAAACTGTTCAATCAACTTGAAGAAGGAGACACGATCGCCGGGACAAGAGCTGTATTAGCCTGACGTTTCGGATTCCTACTCGAATCCATCATCAGAGACAAAAAAGCAGAAACGGGTGGTTGTTGCACAAGGGGCTGCGGTATTTATAGGATGCAGTAGCCATGCTACCGCATACCTATGAACATTCACGGCCCCCCCCCTTCATCCGGGATCGTCGCACTTGGTGTGATCATTGCTTGATGGCCGATATTCGAGTCGATAATTGCTGGCCCCCAGTCCATCAACAAGTGCAACGATCTCCCGACTCCATACTCCGTGCTAAAACTTCGTCTAGGCGGAGTAACAAGCCATGCGGGGAGAGCAGAGGTGAACACTTGTCCCAACACCGGGGTCGGTGCGTCAGATGGTCGAGCAATCATCACGCCAACATCCAACGCACGTGATGAAATTGCAGCAATTATGGACTCGAATGTCGGCCATCAAGCAATGATCACACCAAGTGCGACGATCCCGGATGAAGGGGGGAGCCGTGAATGTTCATAAGTATGCGGTAGCTGGCTACTGCATCCTATAAATACCGCAGCCCCTTGTGCAAAAACCACCAGTTTCTGCTTTTTTGTCTCTGATGATGGATTCGAGTAGGAATCCGAAACGTCAGGCTAATAAAGCTCTTGTCCTGGCGATCGTGGCTCCTTCTTCAAGACTACTTCCTGTGACTCGTCTCTCCGCTTCTATTGTTCAATCGACGATCGACCTAGAGAGATAAAACGTGATAGGTAACCTGAAGCATGGGTCTACTATGCAGGTGGGGGGAGGGGGAGAGAAAGCCATCCAAGTATGAGAGTTAGGACTACAGTGAGAACTTGTCCGGCGTGATTTAGAGTACAACGCGCGGGCAGCATTCAGTCATGCCGGGGAGGCGGGGAGGGGAGATGGAGGCGAAATGAGAGGGCGCATATGGGAACAGGGTTTCGTCCATAATCGATCTTTACCATGGTAGTGCCAGGTTTATCACGTGGTACAACTGCTTATAGAGTTCTGGTTTACTCCTGCGTATTGCAGCGGCCTCAGCAAAGCGCATGAGACGCCCGGTCGTCGCTCGAAACAGGACCTTGAATGCAACTATTGGGTTCGCCTTAAGCAGCCACTTCGGCATGTGTTCAGCTGACCGAGTTGTCAACTGCCTTTGCGTGCGCCCAATGTTGTAATTTAGTAGAATTCAAAAAACTGAAAACGCACTTTTGCATGATGCAGACTAGAGGAATTAAAAAGCTCGCATAAGCAGAGAAGAAATGACAGCAGGCTGCTCATATAGCTGTCGGGTATTCCGCTTCCGACATGTGGACGATATAGCACACAACCGTAGGGCCACTAAATCCACCTTGATTATGACTCAGAGGGCCAGCTTATATCTGCGGTATGAGCAAAATTTCTGTTAGGCTTACGATGTCGGACCTCAAATCCGCAGAACAAATAACCATTTTTAGCTATGACTGTTGCAGGGACTTGTTAGTCTGACATTTGTACAGACAGCTGGAACTAAGCGGTAAATTAACGACCTAATAAATTGAAAGGGACGGTAAGAGTTCCAAATTAATAAAAAGAAAATGAGGCAATCCTTTAAACTAGTTAAAAGGAGGCACGTGGTAGGGTTGTTTTTAGGTGAAGACAAGATCCTCAGATGTACACAGTAAAGGTGCCCCGGAGCGTATGATACCAGAACGGAGGGTCTAACGACAACTTTAACCTCAACCCTCATCTGCTTGATATTTAGCGCAGGACTGCCTGTATTGAGTTAGGGGTTACTACTTCCGTGTATTACTCAAGTGTCAACCAATATAATTAACTGTCTCCATAGACACCCTATATACCCTATGGAATACAACGTTAGTCCCAATTTGGTGGCTATGATTTTGTAGACTTCAACTCCTAGCTGATAACGCCGAAAATAGAATGCGGCAAATTCTTTCTGGAAGAGCTTACCTCTCCATGCAATCGCTACAAATTGGGTTGATATGTGTTGTCAACTGCATACTTAGTTGTGATTGAAGGCCCTTTTCAGTGAGCATCGCCAGATTTCCGTACGACCTACGCCTCACAGAACCTATGATTAGTTCCACTTTTGTGAGAAACATTTCTCGCTTTGGTCATCTTCTCTAACTACATTGGAAACAGGAAAAACCTTATATGTAACTTGTACTGCATGGAATGCATTTTTGCTTGTTTTTTTTTAGTATACGGCATGTTTAATTTAACACTTGACCATATATTTTCAAAGAATTCGCTAAGTCCCGGTTGAGTAACATTTTTTCGAAAATTTCAAATTGATGCCGTAGGTGTGACTGTCATTCCTCCTTCAGTCAGGTTCTGCCGAGTAGATTCCTCTTTGGTGTTGATATTTCTAATCCGCGCCAAGAGAGTGAGCCCGCTATACTTCCCACACGTGACTTTTTTGGCGCAGATGAGAATTATGTACGGGTCCTTTGAAGCGGTCATCGGGACTCAGTGGTGATTAACTGCGAGTTCGAGCACTTTGTAAGAGCGTGGGTTGAATGAACAAAATGCCAACGAATGTGGGACATCGTGGCTCAGGCGGCTAGAGAGTTAGTGTACTTAAACCTTCCTCTCGTTGTCGTTGGTTCGAACCCCACCCAGGCACCGCGTTCTTCATGGGTGGGTCAAAACGAAATATAGTTCTGTCCGAAAACATCTAATATGGGGGTTTCCAGATAAGTCATGTAAACCAAAGAAGCTACTGAATATACATATTAGAAGTTGTGTCTCATTTTTCAGCATGCTTAATAAATATAGGTTCAAGAATAGGAGCAGTGCGAAGTTGTCCACCTTTTGACAGTCAGGAAAATATACCTCCTATTGCAATTCAGTACTGTCACTTAGTGTTTTTTTGGGAGATTAACGGTCATCATTCGACGTAGTTCCGATTTTCATGCTAAATGTGCAACTGATAATGCTATCTCTGATATTATTCTCGAAATTGAGGGTAAGGGAGAGTTTATAACAATTTTGGTCAATGACATAATGTATTTTAAGCCATGCATATCAAAATTTACGAGAGCAAACCCCATCACTGTTCTGTTAGATTTCACCGTGTTCTTCTCATGTAGGAGTTAACTTGAAGTGACTGTAGATTGTAAATGACCGGTGTACCGGGAAAGTGCTTAATACAATGGTAGACCTAATCGCAAGTGTTAGAAAGTCTACTTACCCTAATGTACACAGGTGGTGCCGCCGTTGTATGTCCCGTGATCTATCAGCCCCAGAGCGACTATTTACGCTTTGAGTCGCAGACTAGACCGTCTGGCTCACGACGAGAGAAGACAAGCAGCGGTTGCCTACCTGTATGCTTCTCATGTCTTCAGCCTTTTAATACCTCTCTAGTTTCGCTGTTGCAAAGGGGTACTTGCAACCTGGCCTGCAAAGCAAGGCTTTACGAGTTTCTCTTATCTTCCCCACCAGTTTGCGCTGGGGAAGTTAGATCAGTTTGCGCTTGGCAACGCGTTCAAGCAGGTGGAAATGCGAAAGCCATTTACCAGATAAACAGACGTGTTTCGCATGCGCGATCGTGAATTTCAAGCAAAACTGGAATGCAAAAACTGCCACTGCTGTCGGGAATAGCCGCCCAACTTCCTCCTCTGTCATTCAGATTCGGCTTGCAATGAGGCGGTTGACCATGAAACAAAACGATTCAAATAACCTGTTAGGGGATTGCTACGTACACTAAGCATTCCTCACTGACAGCTGCAGAAAATATTGTGTTCAAATGAGGGATACACTTTTGACTCGAACTTCAACTGGAGTCATACTGTCAGACCAAATGTTGACCTCACGACCCTCTTCGGTTTTCTAAATATTATGATGTACTTTAAAGGCATTGCATTGTAGGAAAAGCAGATCATCCTCATAATAATTCAAATCACGTCAGCAATGAATATCCTCTATGCAAGTTGAGGAACCTTCTCCAATAATTTGCCTCCCCAGAACGTGCTTAAATGGGATATTCATACTGACCCAACTGTGAAAACCTCGGCGCCTGGTGGAATTCGAAACCACGACGGCAAGGAGAAGGCTTTAGTACAGCCAATGCTCTATCCACCTGAGCGTAGTACCTCGTAGTTCAGGTAGCTAGAGCGTTGACACTGCTAAAGCCTTCCCTTTCTGTCTTGGGTCCGAATCCAACCAAGGCGCCGAGTTTTCCACAGTTGGATCAATATGAATTATTCAAAATCTTCCAAAACATCTATTTATTGCGAGGGCCTGGTAGTTATCTGATGGATTCTAGGTGATTTACGTAGGAAATCCTGCTTGAGCAGTCAGCTTACTAAATCGGATTTGGTGGAACCCATATGTAGCAGTAGGCTGGTCGGGTAACGTGACCCAAATATGATTAAACTCACAGATCTCCGTACGGCCTCGTAGTTCAGGTGGCTAGAGCCTTCCCCTTGCTGTCGCGGGTTCGAATCCCACCGAGGTGGCCGAGTTCTCCACAGCTCAGTCAAGATGAAATGGAAACCAACTAAACTCGTTGAACATGGCACACAGACCCTCCCTCGGCAACGACTTGATTGCCAATCAAAGAGTTAACTGAATAGAACATTCACGTTAGGTCAGTCCTTTCTCAGGCTGATCGTCTTTTTCTTCCGCCCTTCCCCTCTTGCAGGCTACGGACACATCGCGCCCAAAACCCAGTACGGTCGTATGGTATGCATGTTCTATAGCATCCTGGGGATTCCCTTGATGCTTATTTACCTGAGCAACGTCGGTCGGGTGTTGGCCCACGTCTTCCGCTTTGTGTACACGAACTTCTGCTGTTGCCGATGCTTTCGGGACATTAGTATTCGTCGCCGAAACCGCCAGAGGTTTCGTCTACTACGTCTGCAAGAGGATCTCCGCCGGCATGTTGAGCTGCAGGCTAAAATACGCGGCCAAATTATTCCACCACCAAAGGTGAGTTCGGTGCAAGCGTAGAAAATTCGATGTGCTTTTCTTGCTGATATCGTCTTTTTCTTTCTTTTTCATTCCTCTTCCCCTTTTTTTCCCCTCCCTCTTCTTCGCTTTATTATTACTACTATTATTATTATTGTCACTATTCTTATCGTCGTTAATAATACTGGCATTCTTTCTCGTCGTCTCACGTTATTTTTTGCCTCCAGCGCCTTTCAGTTTAATTCATCTTGATAGCTACACTTAAGATTGCACACCGTAGTTATCGACAAAATAAAAATAATAACCGTAGTTGAAATTTTCCATGGATGCTACACGTCTTCCTTCTTTCCTCCTCGACCTCCTCCTCCTCCTCCTCCCCCACATCGTACATCTCGTCGCTTCCAGGGTTTAAATACATTTCAAGACAAAATGTGCGAACTACTTACTTAGATAGGAGCAAAAAAGCAGGTTTGAGAAAGCAGATCAGAAGAAGAAGAAGAAGAAGACGAAGAAGAAGAAGAAGAAGAAGAAGAAGAAGAAGAAGAAGAAGAAGGGGAGGAGGAGGAGGAGGAGGGTGCGATCGTAGGAGCAAGAAGTTTATTGGCCTGACGTTTCGGATTCCGACTCGAACCTTCCGTCTTTATATTTTGGGCCGAGACTTTGTTCGGGAACATAATTAGACAAGCGGGGGGCACGGAGGAACAAAAGTTCCAGTGATAGCAAGCCAAGTTGCCGAGTCATTATCAGGCCGAGAATAAAAGTAGGGGCTGAAATTACGACAATTACCGGCTCGGTTGCGGCCTCGCATCAACTTCGAGTCGCAATTATGGCCGCAGGAGCAGCTAATTATAGCATTCACGTGGTCGCATGGAAACTACGCCCTATAAATACTACACTCGCCGTGCCTCCGTCACCCTTATCTGCGACTGTCTTTGATGTTGGATTTGAGCGAGAATCTGAAACATCAAGCCTACAAACTTCCGGCTTCAGTGGACTATCTACCTAGACTTGCTAAGAAGGATTTTTATTGACGAGGAAAGAAAAGCTATGTCCTCCTCTTGCGTTATACTTTGCGTTTGCAATAAACATGATACCGACTGACCTCCATACAAATTCAGTAAATTCCACTAACTTCATGCTGGGCAAAGCTCGGAAACGCAGTCCTGCTGGGAAATGGGGAAAACCAGAAGCGTCGAATATGAAAACCGCGGTAAAAGGGCTTTATAGGTGGGGCTGGGGGAAAACAGTAAAGAAGTTGCGAAAACCAAGGGAAGAACGCAATTATTATAGGTAAATATGCTAGTTAATTTTAGTGGGCATTAAATCTCAGCCTAAGCACCGTGCAATATAAAAATTCACCACAGGCAACCAGTAAAACCAATTCCACGAAAGATAAAGGTGATTGGTCCGTCAAAATCATCGAGAGTGAGCCGCTCAGGGTTAACGATAGGGTGTAGGATCCCCAAGTAGATGGCAACTCCAAAAATATGCCCGAAAATTCGGTGTGACTGTAAACATCACTTAGTATTCACCGTTTCCATTGTTTGAAATTTCATTTCCTTCCTGACTGGATGCAAACGTACCAGTGGCGCTTTATTCAAAGCCAGCTATTTTTGGTAATTGCCTTTTTTTTTATTTTTTTTACTATCGCGTTCACTTTCTATGCCAAATGACAGCGTGCGATAAGACTTTTGGGAGAAATTTATCTGTTTTCTGTGTCTTTTTGCTCTCCGTCCTGTTTGTTGTCCCGCCCGTAAACCCTCGTCTACTACCATTCAACGTATGACACGGTCCACAGGCCAGCTCAAATTAGTTGGGGGTCTATTACCCTATCGTTGCCCTCCCAAGCATTTGACCAATCAGAAGAAAGTCGCAGATGGCAGGGTAAGATGTGGTTTGGTAGCCCCACCTGGGAAAAGTAGTACAGCTGTTCGACCTACCTATATGCCTTTGAGTAAACGTGATTTCATCGTTAGGTCCTACGACTACGGTTTAGAGTTGAGTTGTTGGATTTAGGCTTAGGGGCTAGGGTTTAGGGTTACGGTTAGGATTTAGGGTTAGGGGTAGGATTTTAGGGTTAGGGCTAGGGCAAGTATTTATTTTTAGGGTTAATGTTAGAGTTAGGATTTAGGGTTAGTGTTAGAGTTAGGATGTGGGGCTAGGGTTTATGGTCATGGTTAGAGTTATGATTAGGATTTACGATTAGAATTTAGGGTTAGAATTAGGGTCAGGGTTAGCATTCAGGGTAAGGGTTAGGATTAGTGTTAGAACTTAGAGTAAGGGTTTGCATTTAGAGTTATGGTTCGGTTTCAAATTTAGGGTTAAGATTAGTGTTAGGATTTAGTGCTGCGCTTAGGCTTAAGGTTTATGGTTAAGGTTTGGGTTAGGGCTCACTTTTAGGGTTTACGGTTAGGGTTTATTGGTAGGGTTTAGAGTTAGAGTTTAGGATTAGGACTAAATGTTAGGGATTAGAGTTAGTAAGGTTTAGGTTTAGGATCTAGGGTCTTACGTTAGGGTTAGGGTTTATTATTAGGCTCTGAAGTTTGGGTTCGGCTTACTGTTTAGGATTTCATGTTCGGCTTTAGATTTACGGTTTCCGAATAGGGTTAGGGTAAGTTTTCAGGTTTGGTTTTTACTGTTACCGTTACGTTTTAGGGTTAGAGTTTAGGTGTACATTTAAGGTTATGATTTACAGCTACCGTTCTTCGGCTGCGGGTAAGTTTTAGGGTTAGAGTTTGGAGCTTAGGTTAACGATTACTCCATTCTATTGCGGATCCTCTACGAATTTTTTGTCTTCGGGTGTTTACTTCAGGTTGCATTAAAAATCACTTTGTTTCCCATCACTCTTTGCCTTACCGTGGGCCGCACTACCTTTTGAGTCCGCCTACGCTTCCTTCCGGCCTGTACGCTCACTTCCGTTAATGTGTCAGTGTTTCACAGGCGATCAGAGGTTTCGATCGTTGTTCCTTGTATCTAGCTCAGTCTTGCGAGTTTCATCCTAGTGACTGACTTCAGTCTGCAGCTCTGCATACTGGCTTTTGGCTAGTACTTTTTCCGTTTCTTCTCCAGTTCCCCTGCTTTTTTCATCGATTGGGGTTACCATCACTTATTGGGTTACTTAGCAAACCTTCTCCTTAGCCTAGACTGCCTTGTTCTCGCCCTTAGGGTTACTAGACACCTAATCTTCTTTGATTGGCAACCTACCTAACGCCCTTTGCTCTGTTTGTTTATAGCGCGATGTTTCAACGGCTCCGCTATGCAGTCGACAGACAAGGTAGTAGGCGTACCTTGACCGCCGGCATGACCCTGCGTTCGCTTAACCATGCACTACTTTTCCGGTCGCACTAGTTCAGTCCGGGGGAATGGTGGTGTGCGGGCAGCGCAGTATCAGTGTATCCTATTCCCAGGTGGGGCTATCAAACCATATCCGACCGATGGAAGTTGTGAGAAGTGGGTACCAAATGACTCCCTAATCATAAACGCATACACTAAACTCTGTTATTATCACTTAAGCCTTAACCCGAGCCCTGACATTAAGCCCTGATTCCAGACCCTAAACCCTAACGCTAAACCTCATTCCTAACCCCTAACCTTAAATCTAAAGTCCCATTTGTAAAACTCGAACTCTAGCGTAATTGTGAATCATAGTCGCAGCAGTCCGCGAGGCACCTCAAATTGAAAGTATCCGCAAGTAGTACAACGCCTGCTGAAATCAATAATAGTACGAAAGTGATAGTTTGCTGGCCAAACAGGACAGCGCTTCCGAATCCCATCCAATTCTGGACTAATAGTTGAAAGTGCGATACTACATCGGTAGGAACAACTTAGGGATTGGAAACCGGTGTGGTTAGTCTTTTTAAACAATTAAATGCTACTAGTGTGACAGAAATTGTTGAAGGCAAGATGACTGGGCAACCCACTTTCACAAAAAAGCTATCACAAGCGTCATTGCTCTAGCGCCTATAGTGCTGATTTTTCTTATTCTTATGTTCAGTTGACTTCAACGGTGATTGACTACAGCTCCGATGATGATGACGAGATCCGGCAGATAGACAAAGAGTTCCAGGAGACTGACGATGCAGGTATTCCCATCTGCGTCGTGATGG